AGCGGGGACGAGGACGAGGGGACGCTGCCACCGCCCTGGATGCTGGAGACCATCGTGGTGCGGCTGGCAGAGTGTGTCAGCGAGGAGGTGAGGGGGGAACACCAGGGGGACACCAGGGGGACACGCTGGGGTCCCCAGGAGGTGATGGGGCACCCCAGGGTTACACAACACTGAGGGGACACGTCCCGGGGTGTCACAGCCCCGTCACCCCTGGGGACAAGCAATGTCCCCGGTGAGTGCTGCCCTCCCTCGAGAGGACAGTGCCAGAATCCGCAGGGCACGGCCCCGGGGAGGGAGCTCTGGGGGGTCCCCACCCTTGGGGGGACCCCTCATTGCTGTGTCCCCCCCACAGGACCCCAAAGGTGTCGGTGTCCCTGCGCTGTCCCCTCCCCTGGGCCCCTGTGCCCTGGGCCCCATCTTCTGGTGCTCGGGCCCGGAGGCCGCCCGGCGCTGCCAGGTCAGTGGGGACAGAGGGGGGACACGGGGGACACAGGGATGGGGGGCTGCCACCCCCAAATGACCCTTCTGCCCTTTGCAGGCCCTGCAGCACTGCCAGGAGCACATCTGGCTGTAGGGGGGCACCAGGACCCCCCAGCATTGCACAATAAAGTCTGGATGCACCTCAGTGTTTTGGGGTGTTTTGGGGTGTTTTGGGGTGTTTTGGGGTGTTTTGGGGTGTTTTGGGGGGTGATGGGGGCTGGGGGGTCACGGGAAGCAGCAGAAACCACAAACCCCCCCCAAACCCAAAGAAGAGACAAGGTGAAAATGAGTTACAAAAATAGTGGGTGGCATTTACTGGAACACACACCTCCAGGGGTGGCTGCAGGTGTCCCCAGGGGGTCTCTGGGTGTTCCCCTGGAGCCCTCTGGGTGACCCCGGGGAGAATGGGGGTGTCACAGGTGGGCTGTGGGTGTCCCTGCGAGTCTCTGGGTGTCTATGAGGGATCTTGGGGTGCTCAGGGTATCCGTAGGGGGATGGGGATACCCACGAGGGGCAGCTGGGGGTGTCCCCAAAGGGGTTGCTGGGTGTCCCCCAGGGTCTCAGGCGCCTTGTTGGTTTGTCTCGTCCTCCTCGCGTCGCTTCCAGATCTGCAGGAGAGCAAGAGGGGGTTGGGGGGGGCACAGGAGACATTCTGGGGGTACCACTGTCCCCTTGTCCCCTCACCTGGATGTAGGCCTCAGACAGGGTGATCATCTGGGGCAGGATGTCGGTCACCTGCAGGTCCTGCAGCTCGTACCACTTGCCTGTGCCCTGCCAGGACCCGGGACAGGGTGACTCAGGGGGGTCCCCGTGGCCCCCCAAGCCCCCTGAGGAGGGGACACTCACGTGGTGCAGGACGTGGATGCGGTAGGAGCCCTCTGAGGGCTTCCCGTCGTGCACGATGTTGGCGATGAGGTCGTAGGTGGTGTGGGAGTGCGCAGCCTGCACCTCCTCCGACAGGTATTCCCGCAGGTCCACGTTCCTGGGGACCCCCCGCACCCTCAGGGGGGCACTGGCCGCAGGGGACCCCCACAGCACCCCCACAACACCTCCAAGCTGCTTCCAGGTCCCTCCTGGACTGCTGCAGCCCCCCCAGATGCCCACATCACCCCCTCAGGTATCTACGTCCCCCTCCCAGGCGTTATCAACACCCCAACGCGCCCACGGATGCCCAGAAACACTCCCCAAGTGCACTCAAACCCCTTTTAGATGCCTATAAACCACTCAAAGCCCTCCAGGATGCCAAGATCCCACCCCAGATGCCCACACACCACCCTAAACACCTTCAAATCTCTGGACACTTCTAATCTCCTGACCCAGGTGCTTCCAAAGCCCCTCCGGATGTTTCCAGTTCTCCACAGATATTTACAACCCCCTCCAGACGCTTTCAACCTCCCCAGATACCCCCATCTCCTTTTAGATGCCCCTCCACAAGCTCCCAGGCCCCTGCCCATGGCTCACGTGATGGGGAAGTTGACGATGGTGGGGTTCTTCTCCACAAAGAAGTTGTTCTTGGTGAAGCGCTTGATGCAGAAGATGAGGTAGGGGGGCAGGCGTGTCAGCTGGAAACGCTTCAGGAAGTTCTCCTTGTAGGTCTTGTACTCCTTCTCGGTGCTGCCGTTGAACTTGGCCAGGATGCTGAACAGGGGCACCTGGGGGATGATGAGCTGCTCCTTCTCGTCCTTGTAGAGCGGCGCCGTGGGCAGGTCCAGGGTCAGGTACAGGAAGGTGGACTCCACCATGCGCTCCTGGTACTCGCTGTTCTGCAGCAGCTGCGCCTTCTCCTCTGCTGGCTGTGGGGCACCCACGGGACATCCCCGTTGGGTTGGACCCGTCAGCCCCGTGGACACATCAGACCCCGCTGGAGCCAACATCCCCCACTGGAGACAACATCCCCCACTGGAGCCAACATCCCCCACTGGAACCATCATCCCCCCACTGGAACCATCATCCCCCCACTGGAACCATCATCCCCCCACTGGACCCTTCATCCCCCACTGGAACCATCATCCC